CAGCTCTGCTCACAAAGCGGTACCACTGGCAGCATCGCAACGCTCTCTACCGCTTGGAAACTGGAGTATAAAATGGCCCGGGAAACATCTACCGAAAGACACCTCGGTAACACTTAGTACTGCTAGGGGCAGTAACTGCGTTGCGTTAACGTTAGGGTGATTGCAAATTGGACTTTTGACTGTGCGCTCAGAATAGCGTATCGTTAGCATTAACAAAGCACTGCATACGCTGTGTCAAAATAATCCAATTCCTAGACTAGCCCACAGCTTTCCGAAGTCACACAGATGTAAAATCAAATTATTACCTGCTGGTTTCAATGCCCACCTGAAATGATCCTCACTGGGCTGCACCCTACTCCTCTCAGAGTGGGCACTTTCCACCATTTCTGACCAAAATACTATTTTTACACTTTAGAAAATGCAATTCAGTGAACTCGTGGGGTGCATTACACAGGCAGCAACTCATACATTGGAATGTTAAGGTCTAAGAAATTACTTTGCCAGGCCCTTTTTAGATGTTCCCTCACCTTACACAGTAGCATCCACATTGCTTCTGCATGTTGCCTACAGCTGTGGCTTGCTTTGAAAGGGAAAAAAAAAAAAACACCACACCCAAACCAAAACCAGATCACAACAAAACAAAAAGAACAAAACAAACAATCCTCACTCCCCAACACCTTCTCTCCCTATCTCTGCTCACAATCATAAGCTACGTTACTAAGTGCTCTTTTGTCTTACTTGTGGCTTCCTGTAGATAAGCTTGACTTCCACAAAATCCATCCAGAATCCATCCAGAGGGAGCAATGGATGCCTGTTGCCCACTTGTTCTGGTTGCAATTACTGCTGTGGCTCTTTGTGGGTTTTTTTTTTTTTCTATCACTCTTGAGCATACATGGTTATCAGGGAAAACTGGGGCAGAGGGTGAAGATGCCATTTAATACAGTGTGTTTTGTTGGTTGGTTTTTTTCTTCCCTTGGATGACATTGACCATAACTGCCACTTAAAATGGTAACTAAGTAATGGAAACTTTAATATGCGCTAAACATCCTTGTAAACTTGTAAGACTGAAGCAGATGGGGTTGTTGGTGTGTACCCATAGCATTAGGATCTGTGGTATGATGCAACTCATCTTTTTTAATCCAACATGATAGTTCCTATCTCATTATGTACTTGGTGGCTGCTACATTTTACAGTAATGCATGTGTCAGTCACAGCTGGCTGACAGAAATCACAATGGCTTTATCCTGTGGCTTATTGGTTTGTGTTGTTACGTGAACTGTAGTCTCAAGACAAAGTAGAAGGCTCATATTAGCAAAACTGCTTTAAAAGAATAAGTTGACATGCGATGAGAAAATTTTACCACTTAAAGGCATGGAAGTTATTAGTTTACAAAGATGGAGATGTGTCTGAAAGTATTAGCATGTGCTGACAGTTTTGAAATTGTTAAAATAAGCAGTAGTGGCTACTTGTTTCTGATTTCTTTCTTATTTGAAGACCAATCTTAAACACAAGAATGCTCTAAATATGCTTACGATATCTTATGGCTAACACTTGGTGCGCAGTGGGGAAAAATGACTGCCATTAGTGCAAGTGAAAAGACACTCTGGACATGCCTCGTTTTGCTGGAGGGCTGACCACCCCTACTTTTGGTGTTTAGGAACTGGAAAGCCCCTACTTAGGAATGCTGTGCTCTTCTTTTGATACTGAAAATCTATCAATTCTGTGTACATTTACTTGTTTTCTATGAGGTGTCTAATGCTCACTAGAAGCAACACTGTAAGTAATAATGCTGAATCAGTGCTGTAGCCAGTTGGATCACACACGAAAAAGAATGCTTAGGTCAGCCAGAGAATTTAGTGCAGAACATCTGCTAAGGAGCTTGTCTACTGACTGACAGCTGAGAAGGGTCTGTTGGAACAAACAGTTGCTCTTATTATGGTTAAAAGTAAGTAATTTTTTGCTGCCTCTAAGAAGCCGCATTCATGTGGATCACTGGAGAAGGGGACCGAGCTGTTCCATCTAATACCTCCCTCAGAATATTCCAGGGCTGAGGGCAAATATGTTAAGGGACTGCAGAGGGTCAGGTGGAAACGTGGTGAAAGTTTGACTTAATCTTGATTTCTCCCAGATTACCCCAACCGCAAGCTCTTCCATATTTGGCAAAATGATTTGCTGTCAGGCCTGGGAGCCTGGGTCACAACTGGCAGCTCACAGTAAAAATATCATGACTGCTTAAGTGTTGGTGAGCAACAACAAAAATCCTTGAACGTGGCATGTCACTGCTGCATTACTTCGGTGGACAATGTATGATAAGGGTGGAAGAATGCAATAGTGGGAGATTTTGAAATACTTGGGCATTTCCTTAGGCAAAATTCTTGCTACAGCAGTGACTCAGGTTTTACTTCAAACTTTTACATCACCTTCAGGGGATATATGGTACTCTAGCTGTTGTGGTAAGCAAAGGCTCAGCCTCTGCAATCAGTCTGTCAGGGCACTGGTGCCACATAAAGCTAACTGCTGCCAGCCAGCTGTCTGTCGGAGGCTGGGCTATAGGCGCTATCTCACTACAGAGGGAGGCAACAATCTGTTGGAAGGGAGGGACAGAGAGAGGCCATTTGGAGGAAGAGAAGCTCAGGAGGACATTGAACTGTAATTTACTAAGAACCTGCAAATACAGAGTTCCTAGCAGGAAAAGTCCAAATTTCCCCTTCCTCTTCCCCTTGATATTATTTGGGCAGAGATGTAAGAATGATGGCTTGTTCAGCGTACACAGGGCTTTCCTACTTAACAAGGAGGTATTTATTTATGTTTACTTGAAGAGCTGTGGGCTACAGAATTGTGTCTGCACTAACCATTACTTTGCAAAGTTATTACACCTTACCACAGTGGATTTTTTTTCTATCTGCTTATGTAACTTTCCTTGTTGATTTAATATGCTCTCGGACAACCAGCTATTACTAATAGTAATTTCTCAGACTTGGTTACATCAGAATTAAACCACACAAATAGGAAGTCATCAGCAAGGAGAAACACAAACTGCTTATTCAAAACCAGATGATTTCCTTTTTTTTGCTAGAATTGCTGAATAGGCAAGCAGTCTTTGACAATTAAGTAGCACTCAAATTTCCACTAGAGTAAAGCTCCACTAGTATTCTACGAGAGAGTGGACTATAAGGGCTGAGTTAAAGCAGAAACTGTTCAGTCACTGAGAAACTTAAAATTTTCTAAGGCCTTTAACATTGTGGAGCACTAAGGTCCCATAAATATTTGACAGAAGACTTCTGTCTTCATGATTTCCCCAAATCTGAGGTTTTGCCTGCTTCTGGATTTTCAGTCAAGATCTGGAGCAGCTGGTTTCAGAGTTGAGAACAACTTGTTCTGCTTCCCTCTACTAAGCCCCTGATTTCTTGGTTCAGCCTTTCTGCTACTTCTGGTAATTATTTTGATGCTTTTGACTCTTGGCTATTAGGAAATACCTAGTTACAACAATAAGACCCGCCAACCCCCAAATCACATAGGATTGTTCTGGAAGGCTGCAGCGTAGAAGTCCAAATGATGCTGAAATAATCTCGAATGTCACACTGCCAAGCCTTCCTCCTAAAAAGAAGTACAAGTCTGGTATACGAGTTAGGAGTCAAAGCTGAAACAAGAGCACTATTAGCCAGCATTTCTGGGCATGACAGTTGCCATAAAATACCACATCTACTGGTTATGATCTGTAAACCAGAAGGGAAAGAAGGCCTAGTTAAACTCTGCCAAATGTCTTAATATCCCTAAGTAGAAGGGTGTCTTAATATCCTTAAGTAGAAGGTACCATGCAAATTTAAGGTATTAAACTAGAACTCGTTCACCTTCATTCCTAAAGGCCTATGATGGAATACGTGTTTTGAAATCCTATGGAAGATGATGATACCTTTGAGTACAGCTCAATAGCACAATCTGGTCATCTGTGTACACAATACAAGTTTATGAGTCATGAACAGTCTGAGTGTGTGAAGCTGTTTACAAAAATTGACACTTTTTTCCTCAGATTTAATGTAAAATCTTACCCGGCTGCTCCTTGGTCAGGTACTTTCAGGAAATCCAAGCTTTCTGGTTGCTGTGAAATCTTGCCTGATCCTCCAGACAGTTGCCGTGGTAAAGTTGGTCGTGCCATATTTGTGTACAGGTTTTTCTGACTGGCCCGTTGATTTCCTGGGCCATGGGGAAGTGGTACAATCTGGGGGGGATTTATTACTCCATTTTGCTGCTGACCTAGAAGTAAGTAAAGTGTGAACACATCCAGTCCAAACTACAGCTCAGTAAAGGTAACCTTTTTCTTGCGTTGATGGCTCAGCTGTCAGATTCAGCTGTCAGCGAGACTCAGCTATCAAGGACTTTGAAAGCAAAATAATCTTGAAATCTTAGTGTGATTTACACACAGTTTCAGGTCTGCTGGCAATCTATTTTGGGTTCACGTCTTCATGGACTTGTGCTCAAGTTTGAGATGTGCCTTGAACGTTAGAAGCAAGCAAGAGGATTGGCTCTCAGCTAATTCAACCTTATTAATGTTAGCTAGCATGTAAACACCAGACCTCTATTTAAAACACTGCATAAAATTTTATCCAGCTAAGGGTTGATCGAAAGCTAGCTAGAAGTGCTTTTTCTTTTAAAGTTCAATCTCCATCCAACTCCGTGAATACTGGGTAGACTGGTTTTTAAGTTGCTATAAATATTTATCTATTTTAACAAGCAAGGGGGTTTTTAGTGGGTTTTTGGTTTGGTTTGTTAGTTTGTTTGTTTTTTTTTTAAAAGCCTTGCTGCTACTTTGATTGATAGCTTAGGAGTTTCTAGGTGATGACAAGGGTAAATGCCTTTAAATAATTATGCCTCTAACTTGAATTTAAAACAAACCCACCCATGTCTGAGCAACTTGCAGGATCAGGGCCTAAGAAGCTCAATTCTGCATGTTTTACATTCCTAAAACCCCCGCTGAATATAATGGGAGCTACGCTTATATTAAAAATCAGATTGGTTAATGCTGTGGATGATCATCTCCTTTTTCCCTTGTGATTATGCCTGTTGAAAATTAGCAGAATGAATAGCTGTGTGAGGAGAATTCATAATCATGACACTCGGAAAAACCTTACTGCATTCAACAGCTGGCCTTTGCTTCTGATATTTTCTTGATACTGTGGCAGAGCTTAAGTAGTCATAAACTCATACAGAAAACTCAGTTTGGGACCCAAGCTAGTATGGCATGTACATTATGGTTATATAGATAAAGGTTTGTGTTATTCTGAACATATACATAACAGTCTGTTCAGCTACTGGATCATTAATTTCAAAACAGATGTGAAAATAGCAGAATACATTTCAAATGATCAAGGATGATGGCCCACAGTGTCACTTTCCCACATTGTGAGAGCAGGATGGAGAGAATTGTTTGTGACTTTCAAGGAGGAATGTGCCCAAATCATTCAATTGCCTCAGACTCCTTGAAAGTCTGGACAATCTAATTGGAAATCTTTTGTAACAGCTGTCTTCAATCTTCTTTTTCCAGCTATAATTGGCTACTTTACAAAAAAGTTTGAATTAAAAAAACAAACAACCCCCCCCTCCACCAAACATGTTATGGTAATTGATTTGAGGTCTGTATGAAATACTTCTATTCACCTTTTAAACATGATACCCTAATGCATAAGGGTCAACACAGCATTTAACTTCAGTAGTTACACTTATCCTGCCTGGACACTACAGTGTAGTTTCACTGGTCCATGAACATCTAGTTCAACTCCACAGTTGAACACATGGGAAATGGTGGGTCAACAAAATCTTGTTCTCTCCTCGGAGTTCACAGGCTAAATTAATTTTTTCTCTCCAGGGCAGAGGTGAAACACCCTGATGACATCAATCCCATGCAGAAAGTTAGCCCAGTGTCTTCCTGCACACAGAGGCAGGCTCATCTAGTTAGGACTCTCTGTTGACATGTCTGTTCAGGAGCTGTCGTAAGCACTGGGGGACATATGATTACAAAAGGCCATACTGCAGGTACGGGCATCCACTGGTGCCTTGGACTTGTGTGCAACTCTACATCCAAACCACCTTACCTACACGAGGCAAGTTTGGGCTTGGTTTGCAGGCACAAGGCTTCTTCAACCAATGTTTTTGTCTTTTTCATGTAGCTATAAAACTGCTGAAAGAGTTTTCGCAAATATTAAAACAGACTTTCCTTGCTTTAACTCATCCTGTATGAATATTTACTATCTGCGTTTGCAGACAGGTTAATTCCTTTAACTACAGTAATTTCCCACTTTACTACAAGCAATTCTTGCAGGTCAGGCAGTCTTAGTTTGACTCACACAGCTATGAGGTTTTACTAGGATTGGGACTTGTCTAGTTAATTTGGTGACCAAGACTGGCTGCACACCCAACTTACACCATTAGCGTTGTGCTTCTCAGTAAGCAGCAGCTGACTGAAAGAGAACTCTGTTAAAAAAAAAATACTCTGGGAGTGTAAGTAAAAAAAAAAAACCACTTGGGAAATGTTGGGTCAATGGAATATTGTTCTCCCCTCTTAGATCACAGGCTAAATTAATCATATCTCTCAAGAGCAGAAGTGAAACACCCTAATGACATCACTCCCATGCAGAAAAAGCCACACTGCTTACTGGCACAGCTGACGTGTCTCAGCATTCAGCATACACAAAAGTTGTTACTAACAGGGTAGGACAATTGAGACATAAATTGCATTCTTCTGTTTATCAGCCCTTAAAGCAGTTTCATTGCAAAGCATTGTCTATGACTTGGTAAGTGTATAGCTTTTACCCCAGAAAGGAAAGTGGAGAAGGCTACGGGGTTAGTTTTAAATTCAGTGTCTTATCCTAAGTGGCTGAACATGCCAGCGTCCATGACGATCAGGATATCTCTGGTGGAATACCAGTTTGATTGTCTGCAGACTCCAACAATACACTTCATAAAACGCCTACAATGTATGTTTTCCAGACAGGATGTTTTAAAGAGGATTTTAAACCTTTACTGTGATATTTTAATGGGTAAAAATTACCAGATGAGAAGAGTAAGGTGAAAGCCTGAATTTGGAATTTTGTTTTTGCTCAAGGCTAAGAGGACTTACCAGGAGGAGGTGGTGCAGCTCTCATGGGGTAAGTCTGACTTTGAGACCTGTTGGAATACCCTCTACTTTGGGTAAGGTTCCGTCTAGTAGGACCTAAAAAAACCCCAGCAACATTGTGTTACACTTTCACAATTACATTAATTGGGTAAGTCCTTCTGGCTGCCAGACCCCTACTCTGTGATCAGAAAGAGCTGATCTTCAGGAAAAATGAATCTGACTCCTACAGTGTTGGCCAGGTTGTGCTAAAGCTTTAGGCGCAACAAGGATAACTTAGGCGTATTCTTCCTTTTGTGATCCAGTTGAGCCACAGGACATAAAGTAAAGCTGTCTGAAGACTACAGTAAGCGAGGCCCAGAAGACTGTTAGCTTTATGAACTTGTTTATAAACCATGGATAGCTGGCACAGCAGTACTTTTGACTATACTGTTTCTGATCAGCAATTAGTATGAGCAAAAGGTAGGACATGAAACCTGAGAGGCTGGTATATTTGCAGCTCAATCTTTGGTGATGCACAGAAGCTACCTTTCCTCATATCACAGCCTGTCCTGTCCTGATGCAGACCGTTCCCCATCAGCAAGACTGTAGGAACCACAGGAGCTCAGAGCAGAATGAAAGACTCTTCCCCAAAATGCTTGGCTAATTATGCCGTTTGTACTATGTCACATGATTAAATGCCCTCATTTCTTTTGCTGCAGGGCAAAGAATTTCAGACATTTCAGAAAAGGTATATGGTGAAACTAACAAAATTCTAGCACAACTGTAGAGCAGTAGGGAATTCTCCTATATAATTAGGATCTATAACTTGGATCTTGTTTTAAGTGTTACAGAGAAATAATAAAGAATGTGCTGAGGCTAGAGGCAAGCAAGGAGAGAAAGAGTCAACCACTCTCTAAATTTCTAAAATATTCACTAATTTCTAAAGGAAATTCATACTTACGGGAATTCTTTGGTAGCCCTGGTCCAATGCTGATCTGCAGCACTTTATTACTTGGCTTGAGAATGGCTATATCTCCTTGGCCTTGCATAAATTGCACTTGTCGAGAACCACCACTGCTCCAGGGCCCCCAACTCTCCTTTTTCAGCTTCACTTCAAGTCTAATAAAAAGCATATGAGCATATGAATAAAAACCAGAAAGCATTTCTATGTCAAATCAGGACAATATCACTTGGCAGCAGATAACTTAGAAATATAAAAATAAAAAGCTTAGACTGGGAATCTGTATTCCCTGAGTGACTTAGCTGACTTAGAACACCTAATTAAATATCTTTTTCATGCTTGTTTAAATGTTCTTCTTAACTGATGTTTTAACTTTCCTGGTAGAGCTACTCAAAGGAAGTTTAAGATGCCCTGGAGAGGAAGAAGAGTACAGTGAGCTTTGCGGAAAAATGTGCAAAGGTCTGAGTAAGAGATGTGTCTGCCATCAAACATCACTGCCTCTGCAGCAGACTCTACTGGAGCAAGCTAGAGTGCTCTGTTCCTAAACATTCTTCTCTATATACCATTAGATGTATATATACATTAGGGGTATGTGTGTGTGTGTGTATATGTATAGACATCGGCATGTATATGCCAATATATGCTTTAGGAGTGGGCCTTGTGCATGTTCTGGGAGTAAACATTTTTGCATACATATACTTCAATCTTTCCAATTTAAATTTTTTTCCATGCATGCGTGCACACACACACACTCACATATATATTCTTTCCCAGCATTTCCACACTGTCCATCTGCTCTGATCTGTTATCAGATACGAGCTAAGGAAGTTATGCTTTGGTTTTGGGCAAGACCCCAGAAGTACAATACATTACATCTTACCTGAACAAAAAATTTACTCCTGGTACTGGCTTTGGATTCCCAGTGTACAGGAGTATACGCTACGGGAATGTTCTACACTTTAATTGTCCTCTTACACCCTTTCCAAACTAAAATAATAATATCTTGTTACCTTTTATAATTCTTCCACTTTTTTGAAGGAAATGAAATAAACATACAAATCCAAGGCCTGCTGTTGCTGATCTGCTTAACAGGTAGCAGTATTAACAAAAGCACATATTTGTTGAGATAGTTTCCAGCATGTCCTTACCCCTAAAATGCACATCAAGCATTCTGTAGCTTTTCAGGCTTGTTTCTAAAAAATGTTCCCAATATCATTTACTTAATGAGAATCCTTTAGAATTATCCTCTCACCCTGCAGTTCTCTGTCCCCACAAAAAACTTCAGAATTTCAGATTGTTACATTATGTCTCCGGAATTGTCTTTCAAGCTCTTTATCATGATGTTTCCACAATGTTTCCACTCCTAGGTCAAGGTTAAGGAGTTGGAAGAGGATGCTCCCTTCTCATGATAGGAAACAGCAGCCAGCACAGAGATGAAGAGCTTGCACTACGGTTGCACATTAACTGTGCAGTGACCAGCCTGGCCCTTGCTGTGGGGCCACAGCTCTGCTGGCACAGAGCTGCTCTGTAGCACAGAGCTGCAGACCCTTGAGCCTGATGCTATCTATGTTCAGCAGAACAAAGGCAACTCTTCTATGCACAGACAGTGGAAAGTGGCAGATGGCCCAGGTACAATCCTAACCTGTTACTCTGACGAGCTAATCAGAAAGTCTGGTCTCCTTGCACATACAGATTTTTACACTGTGCTGCCTCTTATTATTTTAAAACAAAGCATAGTGTCAGGAGCTCAACAACTAGCACTCACTCATTTGCCTTGGCAGCAAGAACAAAGACTATTTATTCTTAAAAGCCCATTGGAAAAAAAATGTAACTCACGTATTGCTAAATTTCAGAGGTAGTTTTCTTTGTGTTTTCTCTTCGTATCGTTTTGATAAGAGGCTTAAAAACTCAGTTTTGAAGACCGACTCAAGCAAACTATCATATTCCTGTTCATGTAGAATGAAAATGTCATCCTGCATTGTGCTGAAAAGAAATCAGAGCATATACCATTCAGATTAAAATTTCATCAGGAAACAGAGCCAGCATTATAAAGACATTTGCAGAGTACTCATGGTTAATTTTGAAAAACATAAGAAAGTCCAAGCAGCATTAATTACAGAATCTTGCTTTCTGAGAACAGGTTTGGGTTTTTTTCAGGAGTTGATAATGGAATATCTGAAACAATCATTTTTGAGAGGCAGGAATACTACTTAGTCATTTTACAGTAATTACTGTTATCAAAAGAACACGTGCTATTAAAGTTACAATTAAAGTCCATCTCTTCAATAATGGCAAAACTTGTGATTAGAGGTGAATTGGAAACCTGAAGGTTGCTAAAGTAAGACTGAAACCCAAAGCAAACAAATTTGGAATGAAAGCTTTCAACTTTCCATTGGCTTTAGCTTGGACTGGTTTAGCACAGTATAAAAACCACACACGTAGGGTTTCATTGCCACTGTTGGATCAACTCCCATTCACACCTGCTGAAGATGCTGCAAACCACAGAAAATGATATCCACATCAGTAATTTGCAAGGCTGATTTCTGCCGTTCCAGAGTCCCCGCAGTAAAAAGAGTTCTGTCGCGTCCTAGCCAGGATTACTATTGTTCCAGCACGCTTGTAATTTGTTAATATGTGTATCTTTCTTCCTTTTAACAGCATGTTGGCATACTTCCTAGCTGTACCCACGCTGGTGCCTGTCTGCTTCTGCATCCTCTCTGCAAAGAGGGATAAATAAAGCTTTCCAAATAAAACCATAAGACCTGAAAATGGAGGCCATGGGTCCCCCCTTACTTCCTGACTTGAATAGCATATAAGCCAACCATAGGATGCTCTGGTTCAATTTGCTGATCCCACGGTAAACTAGTTGTATTTTGAAGCTGGTTAGCATCCCACTGGATGGGCTTACAGACCCAGGTCACTGCATGGGAGCACAATGCTAGATCAGACACAAGAAAATGGTGGGAGCATAACGACAGAGGGAGGGGACTGGCCCTTGGGCAGCCACCCCCATTTGCATTGGATTAGAAGTGACAAGAAACCTCTAATTTCATGTGTGATTTCATAACCAGTTTAAATCAAGTTAACATTGTTGTGCTGTCAGAAGGGGCAGCCTTCCCTCTGCCCCTCACCCTTTTTATTCATGCGCATTTCTGTTCATTCCCTTGTGCCAGAATGCATCTCCTGCTCTTTCCTGGTAGGTTAATTTTCTGCTTCCCTTACTTTTCAATGCCTCATCCATATCCCTATGCAGCCACCTGAGTGCTAGCTAGCATAGCAAAATGTGTGGCTGGGAGAAGAGACAGCACAGGACTTTTGACAACTGTGCAGAGCTGAGAATAACTTAAGCTTATCACAAAACGACTACCACATCACCAGTGTGGTATTTCACAAAATGGAGTACAACCAATGAAGAAAGGAGCATTAGTTAGATATTGTTAAGTATTCCTGGCAGAAAATGCGTAGCTCCTATTCATGGTTGTTTAGTCTGCTGCAGGGAGTCTGAAGCCAAAGCTTATCTGCTCTTCTGTCAATGTTGTTGGTCAATCTTCTGCTGCTATTGCCAATATCAGAAAATACTATTTTATAATTGCAATTTATTTCAATACATTAGATATCACCTGCTAAGTGAAAAGGGCACTCTCAGTTTGCATTTCTCTCTGGAAAATGGACCTTTCAAATCCTGTTGGATTTAGAATTAACATTCATTACAAGTTTTCACTGTTTTTTCTAAAAACAGTATACGTAACTCGGAAGTGTGAATGTGTGCACTGCAGGGGTTAAGGATGTGGAAAACCAGGCAGGTGGCTTTGGCACCCAGGTGAAGGGCAAGCCAAAGTTACATACCTATCACTAAGAAACAGCTTCTTTCAATGGTTTGCATAGCAATACATCACACAAAGAAGGTGCTGACATCTCACCTAAATCTGTATTTGTATTGCTTCAACATTTCAGAGGAACTCCAAAAGTAAATTAATTATAGCACATAAGGAACTCAAAGAACGTTCAGCTCAAAAAGAAAAAGCCTCTACCTTCTATCAGAGACAAAATTAGGTCTATTTGCCCTCATCACTGTTTTCTGATCCTAATCACCTGGCAATCAACAGCTTTCCACTTTGAGCATGCTCCTCCCTTTTCCTCTCCCAGCTGGTTTGCCTGATTGCTGACTCTATAAATCTGAAAGGGGGAAGCATGTCTAACTCTTTGACCCCCACTTTTCATCTAGTTACTGAAGACTATGACTCCCTCTACAGACTGTGAGTACCTTTTTATGCAGAATTAAAAATAGCTTCCTAGTGCTGCTAGAGGTGCTCTTGACTGTCAGGTATGAAAATACAATTTCAGCCCACTTGAGACATTAAGTAAAGGATGAGTTATATCACTGCCCATTTTTCTAAAAATCTACCTCCCACCTGTGCACTCCATAATCTCCTTTCAAATTCTGAAAACTTTGCTATAGTTTGGAAAAGGGTGTATGAAACTACAAACTTTCCTAACTAGTATTCAAAATAGCAATAAGAAGTCTATAAAAATAGAGTAAGAGAATGATCTTTCCTATCATCAAGCAAATCTAGAGCCTCAGCAAGGTCCTGAAGGAGATGTGTAAGAAAAGCCCAAGACCTACAATAAATATTATCCAGTCAGTGATCCTATTTTTGCTGATTTGGCAAAGAGTCTGACTTCACAGTACTGTTAGGATGTCCTGTGTCACTCCTTATCAGATGAATTACGAAGCTCAGTTATTTATTGTTACTAAAAACACAAGAACATTTCTATGAGAGTATGGGCTGTCATTCCCAGTATGCTGAACAAATTCCAAGTTGGGCATCTGCACTTTAAATTGCAACTCCTTTAGTAATTTAAATTGTTATGTAGTGTTAATTGCTGTTAATACATGCCAATAGTGCTGATAATTCTGCCTTTATTGTGTATAGCTGTATTGATACAAGCTTACATCAATATATTGCGCATAGGTTTCTTGAGAGATATTGTTTAGATAGCAATGCAAGAATCCAGTTATCCTCTCTCCCCCTTCCATTTAAAATATATTTCATTTTCTGTTGATTTAGTTAAAATTTAATATTGCATGAAAAATAGAACAAATAATATGAATTGAAATTTACGGAACTTTGAGGCTGCAATACAGAATAGAGCTAAATCCATTCTGGATAAGCTCATGAAGAACGTTATTGCAGTTATTTTCTTCCAGCGCAGAGGTTTGAGATTCACTTCAAAACCAGTCAGAAACCAATTATCTTAGAGGTACAGAAAATTTAAAATACAGGGACAACAAACTGGAGTTTTGAAAACACATGAGAGAATGCAAGTTAGAGCTAAGACAATCTTTGCTTTGAGCCTGATGTCTGAAAAAACGTTTGGGGGGGGGGGGGGGTTTACCCCCAAAATAAATACTACATAATACATGTACTAAATAAAGGTTTCGCTCTAGTTTTACTAATTGAAGACCGCTAAATATTACAAGCGCTAACTCCTGTCACTGAGACAAGGTTATCTCAGATTCAAGAGAAGCGATACCTTTTACAGCCTCTGCAGCCCGAGCGTTGTATTACTACTAAGCTGCTTCAATACAGAGTTAAGAGATCCCTTGATTAAGAGCCTTTTGAACTCAGGCCATACTAACATGATAGCAGGGAAAAGCCTTCTTGCCCCCACAGGTTTTGTAGGGTTTGGTTTTGGAGGAATACCTGGACAGTTTGATAGCTTGTAATTCTGAATCTACTTTTAGCATATACAAACGCCAGTGTTTTTTACAACAAAATAAAATCAATAAGCTAAGTTCAAAACATTATTTGATATAATGTAACCTATGTATTTCCTCTGAACTAAGCACATTTGGTTTAGCTTTCAGAAGGTTCTGTGGAGCTGTTATTTACATGCGAGAGGAGTGTAACAGCATTTGCTAACTTGGCAGGCAGCCATCCTTTTAGCTGACTCAATGTGAGTATGCCTTTGGAATGCTACAGGCCAAATTCAAGCGTCTGGCTGCAATCTGTTCAAGGTTTTCACAGCACACAGTCCAAACTTGGAGCACTAAAACGACAGGTTCCACTCTCATGTTTAACCTAGATCTACTACAGTTATTTTGTTGCAACTTTCATTATAAAGATGTATGATAAATAAACCACAGGTTTTGAAAATGGTACTGTGAGCAGACACATCTTGCAGACCTTTCCCTAATCTTGAAACGGCTGTGAAGAATTCTGCAAAAATGTGAAATCTGCTCGTTTTAAGTACTGGATAATGTCTGTGAGATTTCTGGCTATGCTAATTTTACAACATTTTATAAACATATACTCAAAATCCTTTGCAGTAGCTCTCAATACACAGTATTCAAGTGTAGACTTGTATTCCATTAAAATAGTAATTTATTTCAATATTTAAACTACACTTGTCACCCTGGATCAGTATTCTTTTGTATTAAATTACACTCAGCTACCAGCTCTGATAAACTCTGATAACAAACGCAGAGGTATCCAGAGACTTTGTTCACACATCTTCAAAGGGATGAAATGATATAGGCAAGAATTCACTGGTCTCATGGGCAGTTTCTTCCTGTTTTTGCTCACCTAACTGGGTTTCTCAGCTCTGTGTGGACACCTCGGATATTTCCTGCAGTCTGGGACTGGCTTGACGTTCGGTCAACAGAAGCTATGTGAAATCCAACTAGAAATAAAGGTTTTAGTAGCTCACCAGAGAGAGAACATTCCTTTAGGAAGCAGTGGACATGTACAAGGTGTACTTCTGTAAGTAAGAATTATTTCTGGGATACAAGCTTGAGCCAAAACTTGCAAGAACCTGCTTGTGCATGGTGAGTATGTGCTTCACCAAATACATTTTGGGGGATGCACCAGATAGGTGAGACCCAGTGTAAGCAAAACATTTTAACAACTAGTCAGAAAATGTTTGTGTATTGGCTATAAACATCTATTGCTATAACACACTTACTAGGGCTGGGAGTGAAAATAAGGCTTCAGCTTTCTTTGTGTACAAGATTCAGCTAATACAGCTTAAGAAATTCACCCTTCATCAATCAACTTATTTTCCCCATCCTACACAAATTTCTCTGTCAATAGAAAGATATTTTCAAGGTACTGACCTTAGAGAAACGGAAAGAATTCTCTCCACTTCCATCCTTCGCTTTAAGACTTCCCTCACTTGGCCTTTCTCTGGACCCTGCTTTATCTTTTCACGCCCAATCAGGTATATGCACTTTGGAGTGAGGACAAGATCTCGCTTCACACCCTGAAACACAGAATTGTTTGAAAATACACAGCTATGCGGAGATCAACGCACTAATGTTGTGATGCTGTTCCAAAGTTATATAATGTACTATGATTTGGGACACTACTGTTAGTCTTTGGTTCAAGTGAAAAAAATACTGATGTGATTAATCACATGACCTCAGAGTCAGATTGCGCAGGACAGGAAAGTAGCTTTGTTCCCCTTTGCTCCTAACTAATGTAGCTTTCTGCCCACCAAGTCCCATAAAGCCTTCATCATGGGACAGTAGGTTTGACCGTGGCAATGTTCCAATTGCAAGGGTGTAACTGCTTCCCTATGTGTCTTTTAGGTCAAAGACACTTGTTTCAAGCTGGTATCCTAGATGTTATGACACTAACGTGGTGGAGTTTCTGTTAAAGGATGGTAAAGACACCTGTAACTCCCTAGCAGAACTAATCATTAGTGGATGTTGCTCTTAAACCTACCTTAAACCGTCTGTCATATTTAATTACGGTGTCTGCAAAGTCAATCTTCTCCCGTTTGCCCACAAACTGGCGTAGCTCTGGATGGTCCTCCATGCCTATGTAATCTCCCACAAAATTCCTGTTAATGCTGTTCCGTCTTCTCTCTTTCTTGTTCAGCAATAGATCTGATGCTTAAATACCCAAAACAAACATTGATTAATAGTATTTACTAAATTTTCTAAACTCATGATCTGAAAGAGCTACCTGTTTCAAGCAGAACTTTTTGGGAAGAAGTGATAACCAAATTGTTTATAATATGGAAAAAATAGTGAAGCACTACTACTAATCCTTTGTATAAGGATCCCCATGTGATTATTAAATCCATTCCTAATGAAATACACTGTCAGCAAGCTCAGCAGTTCTGATGATTTGGGAGCATTTCTGGAACTAAGGAATTTCTCACTCATTGCTGGAAATTAAGGATTAACTCTTCCAAACCCAGTCTGTTGTTCATTCACATAATCCAGGCCACACATGCAACTAAGCATTACAGTCCTTGGATTGATTTGTATGAGCTACAGACTACCTAGGTCCTCTATAACTGTGGGAAGCTTTTTCTTTTTCGCTTCCCCTCAAACACCCCTGATCTCTGTCCTACTCAGTCTGGCTTTGTTCTGAGAGCGAAAGACTGGGTAGTCCAAGACATGCACAGCAGCCATCCTCATCAGTGGTACCTTATGACTGCAAATTGTTGGACCCCTTCCTAGATGGTCATCTGTAATGCAATGGTTTGCTCTACAGCTCTATTTCCTTCATCTCTTATGGCACTCTTTGTGTTCCTGGAACCATGTGTGAAATATCTGTCACCAGAAGTTACGACCTACCTTCTTCTCTCATCTGTACGTATTTTTTCCTGGCCACATACTTCCTCCATGCCTTCTGGATGGCCCTGGCGTACCCATCATACTTCCTCTCTCTCATCTCTTCTAACAAAAATAGCTGTGCAAAGACACAGTAGGGTGGGTCAAACATTTTACATTAGAAGTTCAAGAAAGAGACGTATTTTACTTTCAACAACTTTCCAGTGTATTTCGCTCTAGATCCAAGCTGGTGGCTCTACCACAACTATGGGATCTGCAATCAGAATGTTAAAGTAAGCTTTTCTGGAAGAAGTCTCTGATGCTTGAGCAGTTCTGGCTCTTACCAGTCTACCCATTAATCTCAGTACCCAATGATGAAGGAATTGGAATATGGATTCTCCCTGAAATATTCTACTGGTGCAACTCAAGGTTCTCCACTGGTCATACATCCAGCCTTCATCTTCACGTTCTCCAAAATTCACATTTCTCTTGTCAGAATGATACTGTGTCTGTGGGGATCTGTGCAACATGTAACACAACGCGCTCTATTCACATGCAACTTTCTTCCCTGTCTGAATTTCATACTCTCATGTCCATTGGCTTCATTCTTTCCCAGCAGTGAATTCTGTTGGCTGGCTGCAGGCATTACAACTATGATCTTATATTTCAGTATGACGTAATAAGATTTTTGGATCTAAAATGTTGTCAGAATTCAAGAGGAAATGCTGATTTATCAAAACAGAAATGGAAGGTGCATCCCCATTTTTGAGAATTTCCCACGTCCCACTAAAATATATGTAAATTTAATGCATTACAACAACTTGATAATTATTGTAGGATACAGCATATTTCACTATAGCCTTTTACATACTTTAAGTTTAGTTAAATGTTTTCTTGTCTCATCAGAAGCACAAGTATTTGGCTAACAGTTACAGAACTAAATCAGTCCACTGACATGACTGCTGCTTAGTATTTCCCTCTACTGTGTGTTAAATATTCGCAAGGACTTCTCTTCTAGCTTTCAAAAGAGATAATATTAGTAAAAAAAGGTATATCAAGAAGTACACCTGGGCTTTAGGAGCCTTTTTTTAATTTGCTGCCCTGAACCATGCAAATCTAGAAAAATACTGTTGTTCATATTGACCTTAAAAAGGAAACTTGATCTAGTGCAAACCATTTCCGCAGAACCTCACTTGCTCTTGTACAGAGTTATTTATTCAGGTGTTTGATGGAAATGTAAATAATGAAGCCTCCTTTCTGCCACCCATAAAAACCTTATTTCACACTTGGCAACTCTCCATCTACAGCAAACTTATTAATAAAAAAAAAAACCCACAAAACTCTTCACAAACACACAAGCACCAGATAGAGTTTCAGCACACAGGCACAAGTGCTCCTGATGCAAAAACTTCCTCAGCTTCAGCAGGGGCATGATGAAGCCCTTGTGCAATTCAGGTTACAGCAACAATATTGATGTTGTCTCTCATGAACACTCACCATTTATTTCTCTAACAATAATGCTAACTGCAAAATCTCAATGCAAAATAGTCTGTCACCTGCAGCTGAAGGTCACAATTAAGGAAGTTCAATGAAAACATTGACTTAAAATATAATTCATAAGTTATAAAATAAAAATACGGCGTAAATTCTTTCCTAAAATATGTATTATAAAGCCTCCCCTCACACTCCTGAGCAAATCAAGTATTTTTCATCTGATTAACCACAACAGGTGCTCTCTTTGGTAGAAAGAAAAATTTTCATTTACTATCTAAAAGATTATTTTTCTCAGAAGTAGTATAACCCCAGCCAATACTTCAGTAATACAAGATGAGAAATGATTGTCTTTGATACTGAAAAATATAAATCAAGCTTTAGAATAATTCAGCTCATATAAGTTTTTTCAACTTAAAATGAAAAAGGCCCAGACTATTTTTAGTACTTGTTTAAAAATGGATTTCATGGCTTTTAAAAAAATAAATTTTTAAAGAAAATGTATACAGTAATTGAAAACATTAATTTAAATTAAAATCAAAATGCAATGCAAAAAAGTTTTACTATTTCCAGTCAGCCTCACGTTGTCTTAACCTGCAGCACTGCCCTTCAGTAAAACTCACAGATAATGCCACTAAATGGCATATACATGCAACCAGGACTTAGTATTACAAAAATGCATTAGAATAGGAAGATGCATCCATTGGAGAACAATTTTTTCCTCTTGGAAACAACCTAGTAGCATATGATGTACAGAATATTAATGTTTTGGCCACTTCAGAGTGAAGGGGAACTAGGCCCATCAATCTTCTGCGAGCACTTGCCATTTGGCTATTAAACAGAAGACAGACACCAGCAAATGATTTAATTTCTTTCCTTGAAAAACAACAGCAACAAGACCCACCCCATTTGTGAATATATGGCTGCTGAAAATCTATGCTCTTATAAGGAGCAAACACACCAAGCTTAAGGTATTTCAGCAGCCAGGAAAAGACGACAGTTCCCTTATATGATTTATTACATAAAACTGAAAACAAAAACACTTTTAAATTTTGGATTGATTTATCCATAAGGTAGCATGATGTTGAGAAAACAGCCATCACAAAATTATTTTGGTTTCTTCCCTTAATTGTTTATCTCCCAAACTGAGATTGTACTTGATTTGTACCTAACTGCAGTGAACAGCATGGATGCAAAATAATTTCACAGTGAAAACAAGAAAATCAGGTTCGCTACAGTGTAAGATAATGAACACAAGATGCAAAGATGTTGCTTAAATTACTAATTCTGGTCCCTTGTAATTACAAGCAACTAAGTTGTCTGTATTAATTCAAATAGGTATTGACCAGAATGTGTACTCACCACCACCCTATAATAAACTTGAGGTCGTCAGTAAAGGACTAAAAGTCACAACTGTAATGTCAACAAGAAGAGATATCAAAGACACCCACTAATGTCCAAGGCTATCACACTGACTTTGTAAGAAAAAACTCCCCCATAATGTTAGGAAATAAATCATGGCCTGTGCTACAGAGGAAGGCAGGTAAAGCTCACGCTTCCTCATATTTGGCTAGCTAAGGTGTTGCTTGCAAGGACTAAGTAGGATTAATCCTGTACTAGAATTTCCTGCTCTGCCGCTGTGCACTTAAGTATTCTAATAACCTACAACTTGAATGCTATGTGCTGTATTATATAAGCATGTCTCTTGGATGGCAGGAATGTAAAGTCCCATTACTCCTGAACAGAGATGATACTGTCTTACCCTATTTATGGTAGAAACAACACAATTTCTATTACAACCTGGAGAATCTTTTCCCCTTTAACAGAGATCTTCCCATGTGATTGGGCACAGAAGTGTCATTGCCTAAATTACTGTTGCTCTACAGAGCAAAAAATATGATTCTGGAAAGAAAATGATAGCAATAGAAGCGTTCTGCTTTTTTTTTGACATGTAACTTCAGGTAAAGCACCAAGAAACCACCTAATGCTCCACTGCAAGGTATGCTATACAAACTAAGCTCAACTGCTTCTGATAAATAAGGAATATATGATGGCAAGTAGAGCATTTTTTTTTTCCTTGACAACTGTCCTGAATAGTGATGTAAGAAAACCTTTTTCCAACAGATTTTGTGCAGTTTAGCACCCACAGGATAAAAACAGCCTTAAAATGCCTCCCTGGTGCTCTCTTTGAATGGGATTTCAAGTTGCAGTCATTCTGGAACATTGATTTACTCAATAATGTGTAGCATATCCTTACTATAACTGGGGGCTATTCTATTTTCATCAGTAGTTCTTGTACTGAGAAGAGGATTTATTTTCTTGGGCTAATGGTGATAGATATGTTCTCATGCCATGATATTCCTTCATATGACAGATTCTCTCATGGAATGTACAACCTGACACCAAAGCATCTTCCTATCCCATCTCCTCTTCTTGATGCATTTAATGCTCCTTGTATTAGTGTCAAAATCATGTACTGTGCCCGTTTATAAAAGTGCCTAGAATCCCTGTACAGCCTCGAGGCACCTGCAACAGACCTGCCCAGCTTGCCTTACATTCTTATGCTTCTCCCACCTTAGCAGATATCATGCCCAACTTCTGAGTGGGCAGGCCTTTAATTTCAGCAAAACAGCTTCATATTTAAAGACTCGTGTTCTGCCACACTTACAGACTCTGGAGCTTTGATGAAGACTTTGGACTTCCCAAGCTGGTATTGGTCAGAATCCATGTTGACTGACTGAAGCAGGTGGAGAACTCCTTGTTTCTCTTCTCCTTTCCAGGAAGGCCAGGTTGCTTTGGTCAGAATGGCATACCTTAACCACCAAGGAGAAGAGATTAAGACCTGACATCAAACAGCAGCAGCAAAATACCACCGACTCTTAGTCACTATTGC